CTCCACTCAGGGCTGGGGCTGCAGCTAGCTCTACCTGTAGGTGCTCTCCACACACATCCTCACCTCGGTTCTTTGTGCCCTTTGGTAAAATCCCAAGGGCCCCAACATCATCTTGAGCGAAGAAGAACTTTCTCCTACCTTCCTTCCTTCCAGCCCCCCAAACTCAATCAGACACCATGTACTACATGGCTCTTTCCTGCCCACCCTCGCCCTTCCGTACACTGCCTGCCTATCATGCTTCCAATACCCCTGGCTCCAGCTGCCCTAGACACCAACTCCTAGGCAACACTGCAAGCACTAGTAAGCCCCAGGCTCTGCAGAGGCTGCTCTCCATCATCTCATCAGCTCAATCCTTCTAATTGACAACCCATAATGCATTCATAAAGTTCAAGTCTTGATTTAAACAAACTCATTCATTCATCCTTGTCTCTCAACCTGCTGCTGGCTTCTCTTCCCACAGTCCCACTTCAGTTCACACCTTCAGTCCTAATCAATGTCTCCTCAAACTCACAACACCAGCAAAGAACATTTTTAGAGGAATGTGCTCAAACTAAATTTCACGTGGAACTCTAAATCATGCCGCAGCTCAGAAGGCACGGTGAGTGCCTCCCTCCTCCACAAGCCTCCAACACAAATCCGATGATTCACAAATGTTCTGCCCTTGGTAGAAATCTTTCACCCTGCATTCCATCCTCCTAAACTCCGCCATTAGTCTATCAGTCCAACTCCATCGGTTACACTTTACAATACAAAAGCTCTACTAGTTGTCTCTGCTCCACTCCAGGTCCCTCCAGTTGTCGAGGACTCTCTCCTCAGGACCCCCATACTATAACCGAGGAAACAGGGCAGCACTGAAGCGTTATTAAAGCACACCACAAACATAGTGTCTGTGCTAGGCGTTGTCTGAACTTGCCTAAATAAAATATCACTAGAACAAAAAATGCCTCACTATTAAAGAACCATAACTAGAGCTACTCTGTGAAAGGGGCCCTTTTGGCATAATCTGATTTCACTTTATAATAACAACAATCTAGTGAGGTGGGATACATAATCCCCTTTTCACAGGAAAGGGGAGCAGAATGAAAAGTTTAGGTTAACTGACTGATGCCTGTGAGCTTACTTTTAAGCTAAAGTAACTCACTTTGAGGGTTCACGAGACTATAAGGAAAAGTGCACCCTTAACATAGTCACACACAGGAGAAATTTGAATAAGCTGATTCCCAGACAGCAGGGATTAGCAAATTTTTCCTATAAAGACCAATTAGTCATTATTTCAGGATTTGGAGCTAAACGGCCTAGAAACTACACAGTACATTGTTAAGCTACAGAAGCAACAGTAGATGATATGTATACGAACGGTGTGGCTATATTTCAATAAACCCTCACTTCCAAAAACAAGCTTCAACATGGATGTGACCATGGGAAGCAGAGTCTGTCACCCTCTTTACATTCAGACTCACTGGTAGATACTCACAGTCAACCTCTTCTAGGTCTTATTTCCTCCTCTGTTACAGGAAATGTTTCTGACAATATAGACACATGAAGATAACTCAAAAGAACATACCAGGTGTACCTGGCACATACAAAATCCTCAATAAGTAACACTGATTACTGACTCCTGCCTGGGATAGAGTAGATCCTGCCCAAAAGCCAAGAAGAAGTGTGTGCTCATGGTCCCCCCCACACCCCCACACCCCCACACCCCTTGACCTATTGGCACAAACGGGACCTTTTTAGCCCCCCCAAAAAGAACAAGCGCTGACATGAACTAAAAGACTCTGGCAGAGACTCCCAGTTCTGGCCAAGACAGAACTGAAGGCATCAACTTGACGCTTCTACCAATAGTTACAAAACTAGGCAAAATATAGGAAATCAAGACACTGGACAACAGAAAGTACACACTCTGATTGCCCCTGCCTGGTTTGAAATAGGGCCTCTTTCTGTAGTCCTGGCTGGCCTGGAACTCACTCTGTAGACCAGGCTGAACTGGAACTCAGAGATCTTTCCACTCTGCTTCCCAAGTGCCAGGACTAAGGGTGTGCATCACTTCGCCCACTGACTCTTCAAAGAAAGCAAAACACAAGACAACAGCATAAACAACGGGCATTTGTGTGGAAACACCTTATCATAAAGGTCTTTCATTATTTGTGATGTAGCAAAATAGCTCAAAGTGGTGGGAGGACTTGATGGTCAGAGGTTGCAGTCTATC